ACAGTGAGGTGTCCTGGAGTCCCACAGGAATGGGAACAGTGAGGTGTCCTGGAGTCCCACAGGAATGGGAACAGTGAGGTATCCTGGAGTCCCTCAGGGATGGGGACTGTGAAGTATCCTGGAGTCCTGCAGGGGTCAGGGAATTTCTTCCTGCCCTAATTCCGAATTTACAGCAGTTCCATCCAAGGGCAGGGATTTCCCTGCACGTGGCAGCTCCAGGTCAGGCCCTGGAGCGTTTCCCTCTCAGAGCTCTCGGGGGTCCTGCCTGGACACCCCGGGAGGAGACGACACGATCCCTAACTCTCTCCATAGCTCTAACTCTGGCTCTGTCTCCTTCCAAGACGGGCTTCCACGGAAGGACGTTTGACCAGAGGGACTGAGAAAGAGGCCAAGAAAGACTGAGAATGGGAACGTGAGGTCAGAGTTGAGGAACTGCTGGTGGCAGTGCTGATTCCACACCCTCCCTGGGACTGGGACGAGGCACACCAGCGTGCCCAGGCTGAGAGGGGCTCGCCTGGCACAGCTCCTGCACGGTCCTCACCGGTGGTGACAGTGACAGCAGAGCAGGGGGACAACTTCCTCTGGGCCTGTCCTTGGGAAGGAGTGATGGCCCCTGTGTGGGGGCTCTGCTGGAGCTGCCCTGGCAGTGTGAGACCAACAGCACCTTCTTCCTGTTTAACGTGGAATCACAGAGCCATTGAGGTTGGAAAAGCCCTCTGAGCCCATCAAACCCCACCCAGCACTGCCAAGGCCACCACTGACCCCTGTCCCCAAGTGCCACATCCACAGGGCTTGGAAATCCCTCCAGACATGGGGACTCCCCCCTGCCCTGGGCAGCCCATTCCAGTGCTTTACAATCCTTTGGGGGAAGGAATTTCCCCAGTATCCACCCTGACCCTCCCCTGGCACAGCTTGAGGCCTTTCCTCTTGTCCTGTCCCTTGTTCCCTGGCAGCAGAGCCCGAACCCCCCCGGCTCCCTCCTCCTGTCAGGGGTTTGTAGAGCAGTGACGGATCCTGGAAGATCCAGCCCGCTGAGCTGTGGGAGAGGGATGAGGTGTCCCGGTGTCTGTGGCTGCTCTGGAGCCCATCCTGGGCAGCAGGAGCTGATCCCAAGCAGTGGGAGCCGATCCCAGGCAGGGGGAACCAATCCCAGGCAATGGGAGCTGATCCTGAGCACGGGGAGTCGATCCCAAGCCCTGGGAGCTGATCCTGGGCAGGGGGAGCCGATCCCAAGCCATGGGGGTCGATCCCAAGCCCTGGAAGCTGATCCTGGACAGGGGAGCTGATCCCAGGCAGGGGGAGCAGATCCCAGGCAATGGGAGTCAATCCCAAGCCCTGGGAGCTGATCCCCAGCCCCGGGAGCCGATCCCAGGCAGGGGGAGCAGATCCCAGGCAATGGGAGCCGATCCCAAGCCCTGGAAGCTGATCCTGGGCAGGGGGAGCAGATCCCAGGCAATGGGAGTCAATCCCAAGCCCTGGGA